CTTTACACATATCTAGTCAATTGGATATGAAAACCACAGAAGAGCAGCAGTGGTTTGAATTCGACAGTTGTATCTGGGTAATTTACAAGAGTGCAATTGCATCCTAAGTCTTTAGACAATTAAAACAGACATGCGATTACATTTTCTATTTTAAAATCTATACTTCATGGATTAAACACTTAGTATTATTAAACTGTTGCTTAATACAGTTAAACTTTCAATGGATATACTGTACAGGAATTTCAAAATGTAGAATCTTTAGCTATCTCCATTAGCCTTTCAAAAAATAGCCAGCTCGATAAATGTAACTAATGATTTAAAACTTTTGTGCAGCAGATATTTCAGAAGTTTCCTCATTGCTTCAGACATTTAGAAAGAGCAAAGGAAAAAATGTTTTAAAGCCACAGCTTTGACATACAAGAGCCATGAGTACAGGCCCGTAGCCAGGATTTCGTTTGGGGGGGGCTGAATCTTTTTCAGGGGGGGTTTTGGGGGGGCTGAGTTTCAGGGGGGGGGGGAGAGCCTAGTCTAGCCTAGCAAACCTTTTGTATCATTACCCCAATACCCCCATGCATATGGGATATATTGAGTATGGTGATCAGATCATGATATGAATAAACATAACAGTTTAAATAATGCACCAGTAAGGCCTTTTCGCGAACCACCATGAGAATTTCGGGGGGGGGGGGGTGAAGCCCCTCAAGCCCCCCCCCCCCCCGGCTACATGCCTGCATGAGTAGATTCTGTAATTTTGAGGAGAGTATGTGCTTCAAGTGCACATGGTCACAATCTCAGTTCTCATTTCCACTCCAGATGGCAGGGAACATCATAAGATAGAATCCATTTGTATAGATCAGGGATTTGGAATGTGCAGACATTGGACTGCAACTCCCAACAACTTAACAACCTCATCAAACATGAAAAAAAGAAGTGTGATGGGGAAATGTCAGCAGCTAGCAGCTAGCCAGGGTGCTGGGATTGTCGTGCTGCTGCCCCGATTTGCCATGGAGGCAGGTTAATCACAATGCTGGATTCCATTCACGTGATGAGATCCATAGTCAGTGCCATGAACAGTTAGGGATAATGGGGTTTTCAGGACCATAGCACATATTGGAAATAATTAGTTACAAGCAATATCGTTATCTGTAACTAACTACAGTAGATTCTCAGTTATCTGAGCTCTGCTCATCCGACACTCCATATTATCCAACGCCATCATGTGGCCAATTGGAAACACCCTTTGATATATGCACATGAGAGCAGGTGGCTTTCCATCCCATGCGCAAAACTGGGAGAAGAAGGAGGAGGAGGAGGCATCTCCAAAGGGAAGGGAAGTGAATTAAAAGAGAAAGAGGGATGGGAGGGGGGAAGGAAGGGAAAAAAGAAGAGAGGGACGGAGGGAGGCGGGAAAAGGGACATGCAATGGCTCTCCTTCTCTCTATCTCTACTCTTGGTGCACACAGAGCCTCACTCTCCTGCTTTGGAGACTTTTCTCCAACCCAACCTTGTTTCCAAATTGGGGGGAGGGGCTCATGGCTGACTGGAAGGAAAATGGGGAAAGAAACCTCGTTGCTTTACCTGGCTAGGTGAGTACAGGACCTCCATTCTTCCTGCGTGCACGCAAACACACACACACTTTACTCCAGATCCTCTCTCTCTCTCTCTCTCTCTCTCTCCTCCCTTCCTTTTTCTCCCCCATGGGCTCTCTCTTCTTCTTCTTCTTCCTCCTCCTCCCTCTTTTACCTGTGACAACCTTGTAGCAACTTTCACTTCTGGCCTTCTCCTCCTCTTCTAACCCAAGCAAGGATAGAGGCATAGAATCCTAGAAACTCAAGAGGCCCCTTCCCTTAAGAGGCTATCCAGTCCAGCCCCATTCTGCTAGGCTGGAAGGCACAAGCCAGGCCCTCCCAACACAGAGGCACCCAGCTCCAGATGAGATTCTGGAGACGGTTGACCAATATTAGTGTTTAGCAGACTTTGGTTTTCCAGTGTTGCCAATCAACTATGCTCAATATGGGATTCTAGAGACGGTTAATCTACAGTATATAAGTGTGTTCCCAATTCTGGTCTTCCAGATGTTTTGGATTTCAAACATGATGTTTTGGTGCTTAAGTTGTAAAACCATAACGTAATTTAATGTTTAATAAGTTTTTCCTTAATACCTCCTTATTATCCAACATTTTTGCTTATCCAACGTTTTGCTAGCCCATTTATGTTGGATAAGTGAGACTCTACTGCACTTCAGAGGAGGGTTGATGAGGTTATATTAAATTTACACTTCAAATGCAATGAGTAAGAGTGACATTTCTTCAGTGTAATGAAAAAGCAATGGAAAGTAATGGGAAAGTACTGAGCACCTCAACGTCAGTAATAGTTCTCCAGCATTTTAATGATTAAGAACACCAGATATGCATGTCCTCAAATATGGTAACATTCACATAAATAAATTGCTTTTTAAAAGTAACTTTCTAGGCTCTGCACTACAGGTGCTCTAATCTTGATACACCATGGTTAACAAAATAGTTAGATTTAGGACCTCTTCACACTTATCTACCTGTTGCTCCATTTCACCAGCAAGGCACGCGTGGCTCCTCGCAGAGACCCACACACCCTCCATTCTTCCCTATCACAAGTAGGGAACAGGACAAGGTGAGTTGGTGCTCTGTCCCCATCAGATGGGGGAAAGAGCAGAAAAACACAACTTTTTTCCATTGGGGATCAATGGGGAGGGGCCAAGCCAGCATTGTCTGATGGCGCTTGACAGGACCCGTCCCAGGAAAGGAGAAAGGGGTCAAAAGCCCTAAGTGTGATTAAGGTCCTTAGTAAAAAAAATATGTCTCAACTGTTTTCAACAGAAAGAGGAAGAAATATTTTCAATGTGTTCATTATTTTTAATTTAAAACTACCACTCTTGTTGACAAGATCCTTCAAGTTTCAGTTTTACACAAGTGACTTTGAAACAAATTATATGTATAACATCATCAAAATATGTGGTGTCTTCCTGCCAAATGATTATACCCCAAATGTTTTCCTAAGTACACCCTTTTCCAACAAAAAGGATATGACTTTTTAAATTCTCTGCACAGATGGCAGCTTCAAAAGCAAAGTACGCCTTACTTTTTCATTTTTTTAGAAAAATCCTAACTTAGATCTTCTAAACAGTTTTTCTTCATGTTCCTTGTGTCTTGCTGTTAACGCTGGAAACATCTTTAAGAATTCAAAGGAAAAAGAGCCGGCATTATTGCTTTTGTCACTTTAAGGCTCCAGAGCTGCTTTAGAGAACAAACCTTATGATCAAGCTTTGAAGAAGTACAAAGGGAAGGCAGTCATTATCATTAACAAGATTAAAAGCAAACCACGTGCCCAACGACTGCTGTGCCAACCTCTCCAAATGATCTTCCATGCCAGATTGCAGTCGCACACTTCCCCTTATTGCAACAAGGACACATAAAGTAATATCAAGAACAGGTCATGATTGTTTACACAGAGACCAGACAGAAGTACTCAGACTTCACCAATGCTAAAACAAAGTGATTAGCCAAATAGTGTATTTTTTCATGTACTAATTGGACTATGTGGAGACCAAGACAAGAAATATGGCACATACGAAGCACCAAGGAGACTACAAATGCTTCCCCTTATTATAGTGTTAGTAAAACCCAAATGTAACCTCACCTCTGATGTCATTGTCTCTTTTCTCCTCTGATGTCTTTGCTTAAGATACATAAAACTTTCATGGAGGCATTCTACTAAAACATACACATAAAATGGTACAAGAGCTGTGGAAGTATCCCTTTCCCTTTTATGTTTCAGACACAAAGTAACAGCATAAAATAAACATACTGATATATATTTCCAAAGCCCTGCTATCTACAGATGAGCAATTTAACTAACAATAGACAAAACTATTTGATCAGCATAGGCTGAAAACAATACACCCGTAATTTGTGGGTTTCTTCACTTTAGACTTGGTGAAAATACTAAGAGAAACAATTTGGAATATACACCACTGCTAAACTCTCAGAAAAGATAGTAAATATATCCTTCCATCTCTTTTTGTCCTGGTAACAGAGGTGGCCCTAGGTAATTTTCAACGGTAAGAAAACAGTATTTTGGTGCCCCCCCCCCAACCAATCACTGATATATATTTTCTGTTCATCGTGGGAGTTCTTTGTGCCATATTTGGTTCAATTCCATCATTGGTGGAGTTCAGAATTCTCTTTGATTGTAGGTGAACTATACATCTCAGTAACTACAACTTGCATGTGTCAAGGTCTATTTTCCCCCAAGAGTGCCTCAAGAGCACCCCTGGGCAAAATCAACTATACTGCAAATGCTTACTTTGCGTAATGGGTTGAGCCACCCCTGCCTGGTAACTATGTCTGAAAGCCAAGTGAAGGGATTTCTTTTTTAAAAAATGAGCCAAAGAAAATTATACTAAAATTATAGATTTGTACTGTTTAATGGGCCATAAGTATTGATAATCCCCAATGTACAAATATAAAGGCTGCCACATGAAAGTCATGTGAAAGCTCAAATGCTTGGCTGCCATTGCATTTAAAAGAAGGTCTAGATGTAATGCAAAGTCCTGATTCCTATTCCCTCCAATGATCACACAAAATATCAGCAAGAGATACATTCAGCTGCTCAGGTAAAAAAGCTGTTTGGTGAAGCAGCAGCAAAGAAAGGTAGTTCTTTCTCCTTTTGCCACACCCACCTGATTTTTAAAATGCTTCTAAATTAAAAATAAAAACACACAACTACATGCCAATTTGATTTCCACTTAAACAAAACTACAATACACCGGTCATTGTGTCTCAGGAAGTCTATTTTTTTGAAGTTTTCCTGTTTCCCATCCCTCCACCAATCTTTCTAGCAAAGAAACAAATTGTGATGTTGACAGACTCGGTTTTTTAAACAATAATGGAGACCAGACTCCTAAAATACTCCCAAAACGTAAACATGCATTTAGTGAGAGAAGCTTTCTTGAATCTATTTACCTAAAACTTTCAGTCTTTCTGCTCCAACTACCACTTCATTCTCATCTGCAGAAAATAACAAGTCCCCCGAGGTGGTTAGCACTTGAAATTTTTGGCTGTATGCTTCCACTGCTTTGGGACCTAAGAAGAAGAGAGAGAAATTAGAAAGTATTTTTGACTGACATTCTCCTGAAAATAATAGATTACAATATCTTTATTGAATTTGACACACTGATATGCAATAAGGAGGTTACGGTGATAATTCTGTACATAACATGCCACTTGAGAGACTAGTGCATAAGCCTCCTCTCCTCTTCAATCTTTCTTCTAGCCAAAAATCAGACAAGCCATTTGGTGGGGAAAGGTACAGTATTCCCTGTTAATGACATTTTAAAATTTTTATGAACTCAATTGCCCTCAACTCTGTACAGATTGCCATGTTTGAAAGATCACAGAAAATTTGGATATCTCATATAATCAGACCAAATTATAGTTTATAAATTATATAAATTATCATTTCATACATTATATACATTATAGTATATAACCCAATTGTAGCTAGGTTCTATTAGTTGGGGTTCTATTAGGCAAATCAAGCACAGCCAATTCCCATATTTCAGAATCCAGAATTTATCTTCTTTCTGAAATATATGGGGCAGAATTGGGAAACAGAAGAAAGTGGTTTATGTCTATAAGGTTTGTCTCAACAAGGATAGCAGAATGATCCTAAATGAAGATGGCAGCTAGTCATTAATTAATCTTACTCAATTGGTCTCGCTTGCAGTGGAAGTGGCTACATAAAACCATGGGGTTTTGCTCCACATTTTATTTATCGTACTGTCTGACAGCAGGCTCTCTGATCCCTTATCTCCAAACAAAATAAATAATAGAACCAAGAGGAAACCATGGATTTTTCTCAAATGTTTGAGGAAACATGCCAGAGAGAGGAAACTGCCTGCTTCTGGGTGAAACAATAAATCCACTGTGGAACAAAGCTCCATGGTTTCTTTAGGCTCTTTAGCAAATGAGCAGTGCAGTGGCATTTTGTTTGTTCATAACAAGCCATTTTTTTTCTTCAGAATTCTGATTTGCAAGCATACAACCACCTAGGGTGTTTCCAAATACTTCCTACTACCTTGGTAGAGTTCAGCTTAATATTGGAGCCCCAGGTGGCGCAATGGGTTAAACCCTTGTGCCGGTGGGACAGAAGATCAACAGGTCAGAGGTTCAAATCCAGCGAGAGCGTGGATAAGCTCCCACTGTTAGCTCCAGGTCCCCATGCGGGGACATGCAAGAAGCCTTCCACAAAGATGGTAAAACATCAAACATCCAGGTGTCCCTGCGCAACATCCTTGCAGACAGCCAATTCCCTCACACCAGAAGCAGCTTGCAGAATCTCAAGTCACGTATAAATATGTGAGAGAAAGCCACATGGAGGAGGGAGCAAGCTTGTTTTCTGCTGCCCTGGAGACTAGGACATGGAACAATGGCTTCAAACTACAAGAAAGAAGATTCCATTTGAACATGAGGAAGAACTTCCTGACTGTGAGAGCTGTTCAGCAGTGGAACTCTCTGCCCCGGAGTGTGGTGGAGGCTCCTTCTTTGGAAGTTTTTAAACAGAGGCTGAATGGCCATCTGTCAGGGGTTATTTGAATGCAATATGCCTGCTTCTTGTCAGGGAGTTGGACTGGATGGCTCATGAGGTCTCTTCCAACTCTATGATTCTATTCTATGATTCTATATGAGAAGAGATTTCAGGCAAATATGATTAACTTGAAAATCATGAGATTTTCTGAATAGTGATTTTACGATCATAGGAATACTATTCTCCTGGCTTCAGTTTTTCTTGAAGGCTGAAAAAATGAGTATGTATTTTGTTAGAAGATCTATAATAAAAATAGTAGCAACTGTCCACATTCACCTATCAACTTTACTTATGTAGATTTAACTAGCAGCAAAATCTCTTTAAAGCTTTGTCATTAATCTCATATTTAATGCTTCTGCTTGAATACGTTTTCCAAAAGTTAATATATTTAAGCATATGCATATCATATTATCATATGTGAAGTAACCTTTGGCTCTAAGTGATATGCCATACATTAATCTTTTTAACTCCTGCAAATTATCATCCTGGGCAAACTCTTACAACCATAAAAATGGAAGGAGAGCAAGATATCCCAGGACAAAGATACCTGCCTAATTCAAGCAATTTAAACTCAGTTTGCTCAAAACATACTCCATGCTGCAGGGAAAATCTAAATTACAAACAACCAATAGGAGTTAGAATAATTTTAGTTCCCAGTCCTTAATATAGAAGTAAATTAGACCATTGGATAAACAAGTGAATTCTATTACACATATAACTTTAGTGATTTGTAAGGATTGGGAACAAACTGTCTCTCATATCCTTTGTATTCATCTGGATGGCACTACACTAGAGTCGTCAACTCCAATCCCCAATTGGCTCCAAATTTAGAGGCCGTTTCAAAAGATAAATACCCAGTAGGTTTACCATTCCTTCAATGAAAGACAAGTTCATAGTTGAATGCAAACTATTATGATTTTCATTCTACTAGAAATGAAACAGCAGAGAGATATTTCTCAGTGGGCAGGCAGATTACAATGTTACACAGTAATTGAGAGTGGTAGGAAATGAGCAGAAGTTGAATTTAATAAGTATAATATGCCTTGAAGTATGAGGTTATTTACTCAGCAGACCAGGTATGAAGTGAATAGAAGATCCATAAAACTGTCATTAAGGTATTTTTTTGTCTGAGATGTTATTTACTGTATTCAAACAGTATGTCACAAAAAAAATATTGAGCAAAAATAATGACAAATCAATTGAAAACAATTTATCTATTTTCAAAACCAGAACAAGAATTTTCAAATGTCAACAGTCCAGCTGTTTTAAAATTTATTCCAGAAGCCTCTACCAGCATGGCCAATGATGATAGATTGAAGCTAATGCCCAAAACATTTATGGGCATAAATTCAGTAGTAAGTCAGAACTCCTTTGCACCTTAAGAGCCACAGGGATACAACCATTGTGCTTTTGCCACGAGAGTCATGTCTCTGGCTGGATCTATGCTGTCATATAATGGAGTTTGGAACAGCATTATATCATCAATGTAAACCCATATAATACTTTATATGGCCATGTAGATCCAGCCTTTGACAAGCTGTCTTCTTTGACAATAGCTGCAAGGGTTAGAAGAATGCACCAAACACAATCTCACCAATGTTTCCCTTTGTGTTAATGTTTGAGTTATCACCTTCAACTGCCAAAGCTTTAGTTTGAACCATCAGGCTTGTCACATTACTACCCAAGACATACTTATTGATTTGGGGAGGGGTGTGTGCATTTGTAGCCAATTGTCTAAGAAATGAAGGTCTTAGTCCCTGAAAGCTGCCTCTTCTGTCAACATAATTTTTATAGCCAGTCTTCTCTGATGGATCTAGTGAGAACTTATGGTCTGAATTATTAAGTTTTGATTTTAAGACTTTGTGTCCTTTTTATGTACTCAGGTTCTTGTTCTCCACTACTCTCTTATCTTGGATATCCTCACCTTGCAGCATTCCCAAAGTGTTCTGACTGAGGCTTCTGAAGATACTTTCATCAAAAACTGTATAGCAAAATTACTTCTGAACTGCAACACCTTTCTTGTTGAACTTTCAGTATATTTTAAGACTGTCTAATAAACCTAAATCAAACCTGCAGTTTACTTATATTTAAATATTATTTGTACTTCCATGTATAATGATAACTTTTGGAGGTTTTGTATAGAGACTGAATGGCCAAGTCTCAAGGATGTTTTAGCTGAAGATTCCTGCCCCCGAATACCAGCAGTTGAGGTATATAAGCAGGAGGCACAAGTTGCACTCACATTTTGCTTGTGAACTTTCCATAGGTATATGGTTACCATATGTTAACAACCTACATTACAACAGTTGTAAAAATGTATAGTTCAGCATTACAAATAGGAACCTTTCCTGCTGCTGGGCAGAAGGCATACCTTTGCCAGCACCTATTTCAAAACATTGTATTCTGACCTACATCCCAGAGAGTTTAATTATTGCAATTATTTACATAAGAGAAAGAATTAACTCTTATTCAAACACAGCTGAAGAACACAATTTGAATGTACAGCTATCACAATTAATGGCAGAGACTAGAGAGGCAAAACAGTTAAGCAATCAACAGGCAAATTCTATATGTGATATTATTGCCAGGGTTTATTATAACACATTCCAAGGTTTCAGTTAATTCAGATCAGTATAATTTCAGGAAAATTCTATAACCTCAAGCAAAATTGGCTCAAATCTTATTGTCAGCCATGACTAGATTATAACCACTGAAACAACCGGATTTACTTCTCTGCTGACTCAACATGTAACAACAGATTGAATGGGTTCACTCTAATCAGACTGACCAATAGGATTACAGCCAGTGTTTTCCCTTTAACAGAAATATGAGTTGACAATAGTCAAGCTAAATAAGGTACTAAAATGATGCATACTGTTTGAAAAGTTGCACTAAAATCACATGTAAAGCTCACAGTATTGATTTTCAGCCCGAGTTTTACTTAAACTATGATTGACCTGTGCAGGCATATATAAAAAGATGCTATGAGAAACCAACATTTCTATGTAAAAGAACTCAAATTGTGTTTTGCTTCAACCTACATTCTACAAATGAGCTGACTAAATGGTTGAAAATAACCAAAGCAATTTTACCCACAAAACAATGAGTAATTTTATATCATTAAAGCACTGATTAATTTCCTTTCATCTCTACTTCCTCTCAGTCCACTGGGCTCACATATGCAATTCTCAGATTTGACTATTTTACACAGGTCTCCCTGAGCAAAAAGAGACATGGTTTTCCACTGAAAGGAATAAACACAACCGTCATTTCATTTCTGCCTCCTACAACACACCCTAAAGGGAATGCCTGACATGATTAAAGTGAAAGCACAGTTATATGTGATTAGATAAGTCCTGTAAAGATAGCTAAAATATTTGCATTTAGAATAATCAAAGTTGCCTATACAGTTGAGGCAGCTGCTTTCATAATGAGCCTTGTTGAAGAACTCTATGCTGTCTGAAAGCCTGCTAGATGTGGTTTATCTATTTGGTATCTTCTAAATAAACATGTCACAGCCATTATTCCTATGTCAGGATGACTGGGTAACCTGAATACCTGACCTCTTCTTAGTGTAGCATTTTCCAGCCTAAGCATCTGCAAGATTCTTATACATGCACACATAAACATGCACCACACTCTCTTTGGAATTTCATAGCTGGCACTGCTTCTGAATTCTACTTTTCAATGTTTTCTGACAAATGATCCAGCAGCAAAACAAGTTTCTTTTGAATATATCTGGGATTGAATGCAGATGGGTGGATTTATTTCCTTTCCTCCAGGCCATTTTCACACATGCTATGAAAAATAATTGCTAACTGAAATTGTTTATTTAATTATTTAGCCTGATAACTGGAGGCCCGGTGTTATATACAGAAGGTAGGCAATCTAATCCCACACACAGCAGCATGTTTATGGATGGCTGGTGCTTCTGCACAGGCACTGCCTGACTCCCCGTTGCCTGCCTGCCTGCCCTCCTTTATGTCAGGTCACTCTTGCTACAAAAAGCAGAAAGATGCTCAAAGGCAACAGGTCTGCCAAGGATTTCCCAAAGAATCCATTTGGCCTGTCAAACACAAAGTGTACCATTTAGTAAATGTAAACTCTACTTATTGGCACAAGATAATTTTTAAGGTTTTTTTTTTTACACAAAACAAATATTTAAATGACAAAAGCTGTGAATATTAATCAGCACTGTGTTGGTTGTCTTGGGCATGCTTAAAGTGTCCGGGGATGTTCTTGGGCTTGTTAGAAATGAAACATCAAATTGCCAGTTTTCTTCCTGAACTTCTGCTTGTAGAAGTGACCTTTTGCCTTGGGATTTGCTTTCAAATGAAAAATAAGATTCATTTCTAACATTCTTAGCTGTGATTCCTGCAGGGGCCAACCAGGTCATGGCTTGTATTATACCAGGTCAGTTAGTAATGATTATCCCATGGGCTAATGATTACACAATGCCCCATCAAAGTCCCTCTTCTTTATCCCTTCCTCCAGCATTTCCTTCCCCTTACCTGTTACCAGCCGTGTAAGAACTTTACTCTCCTCATTGAGAATGTTCACTGTAACATTTCGAGCAGACTGGAAGTATAGAGGGCTGCCCTACAATAAGAGCACAAGAGAAAATTAGTGAGATGGGCACATCACTTTCCATGAGTCAATGCACCGTGCCCTCACAAACCTTTAGAGATATAACTGCCCATGTCCACATGCCTGTTTCATCCATTTATTTTTGTTTCTATTTGTAAACAAATAAAAGTTCAGCAGTTTCAGAACTCTGCTTGTAGATTTGCACATCCTAGTTTCTCGAACAGGACTATAATTGGACAACACATCCAAGTTCAGCTACATTGGTCACTCAGGTTTGCTCCAGGTGGTTAACTTTTGAAACTATGACTGAAGGGATAAATAGGGAAGTGTCCCATTGCAGTGGGGACACCCACAATTAATCTTCTCTGCTTTCTCAGCTGCTTTTAAAATGTTCTTGGATCCCTAGATATGGGCCACAAATCCCAAATTGGGCCAGGAGTCACACTTGGGTATCCAGATGATATCTAAGGACTTCTGTCCCTAATTTTAAAATCATTTTATGTACATGCAGCCCGCCCTCTGTCATTTTGTTATTATGTTTAGTTCCCATGTTCTGTGTATATTGTTTTATATGCTTTGATGTTTTATTTTAATGTTATGTTGTTTATTTTATTGCAATTTGTATTGTTATATTGTAAATCTTGTTCGGGCTTGGCCCCATGTAAGCCGCTCCAAGTCCCCATTGGGGAGATGGTGGCGGGGTACAAATAAAGTTTATTAATTTATCCCATTTTAGCAGAAGTCAGGAATGCTCTGGAGCTTACTTGAACTTTAGGGTTAGGGTTAGCATAAATAGCTGGGTCGGTTCTAATTCACAGATGGTTCTGGTCTTCACCCAGACAAATTCTACCATCCCATTTGGAATTGGACAAGTCCCAGGTCCCTTTCACATTTTACAGTTACAGCACTGAAATTGCCATGGTTCCATCATATAGTATCTTGGGTTTTGTGATTTGGTGAGGAGCCATTGCTTCTGAACTGCAAATAGGAAAGAGCTTGGTATAGTAGCTTGAGTGTTGTACCAGGACACTGGGAGATAAGGGTTCAAATCCTTACTGAACTATGGGGCCAGTCACACTAATTGTCTGAAGCTGGCAGCTTCCCCTTTCCACACCACATAATGAAACCAAATAAACCCTCATCCAAGCCTGTGACTCAAGGTGGATACTGGATGCAGATATACTCAGAAATGCCTTCTCAGCCATCAAAGACAATACATTATTCCCAAAAGAAATCCCAAACCCATTATTCTGAGGTGGATACTGGATGCAGATATACTCAGAAATGGTCAAGTACAAATCCCAATATTCCATAGCATAGAACAGTGTGGTTAAAGTGGAATAATACCCCTATAATTGTGCAGTGTGAAATATCTCTTAGCCTGGGCTACTACGATTTTGTTGTTAGCTACCATTAAGCCAGACCATGTTTTAGGGTGACCCCATTAAAAACAGACTCCTAAATCACCCAAATTTGGGTCTAAAGGTTTCCCTTTGAGACATTGCATAGGGTAGAGAATCTGCCAGTTGATTTAATGCATGATTCAGCATGATCCAAGGCATTTCAGAGTTCAGAAGTACTTGCCCCATTTATTAGTTCTGAATGGAACAACATCTCTAAATCAAACCAGAAATTAGGGTCTGCAAACAAAGAAGCAGAAAAAACCCTTTCAGCCTCAAATAATGAAATGAAAACCAATGTACAACAATGTCTAGCTGGCAGCAGGTGTCACCTGGAGTCTGCTGTACACTTCTCTATAACTGAGATGCATTATTTTAGGCATACTTTCAGTACAACTAATTCTGATATGATCATGTAGACATAATAGCTTTGATAGTTTTTATTTCTAGCATTAATAGAGCCTCTCTATTTTCTCCTCCCAAGTCAAAATTCTTTTTAGAAACCAGGCAATCCTCTAAGCCCCCACAACTACTTAAGTTTTCAGGCTGGTGCAGCTTGCCTTCTTTAATTAGACAAGCTTTCCTGGAAAGGTCACTAGACTTTCAGACTCCATTACTCCCTACAGTGCGTTGGGAGGACAGGGGGATGGAGCTCCAGTATCTATTACAGTTTTCATAAAAGTAGGCTGTACTCTTTTAAAATAACATTAGAGAGGTAGGGAAGCAGCCACAGTACTCTTTAAAAACATTTATAATTGCTGCCCTCTCTTTCAGTCATTTCGTTTATATATTCAGACCTTTGCTTCTTGTGGTTTTCAGAGAACTAAATTTGCCTGATGGAAGAATGATTGTTGTGTTTGTCTGCTAGGAGAAAATTGCTCAAGCACTTAGGCGACTGCCTACTTAATTTTCCATAACTCATTCCATTAGAGGCTAAAAGGAATCTAACTACCAGGATTTATCATTCCTTCAGTAGCAATGGACAGCTATGGCATCCAGTGTTGTCTTATGCTAAAGCACCCAAGGATGATTTTATTTTCTGACTCACAGCCTTTTAAACAGAACTGTTTCATCAAATTACAATGGCGATGTCCAGAATGAAGGCGTGTTCCTGCATGGCAGAGGAATGGGCTTGATGGCTCTTGTGATCTCTTCTGACTCTGCAATTCTTTGTTCCTACAGGTTAATCATACAATGATAGATGATCACATTGGGCCCAAGGAGAGTTGCAAACCAGGACTTGTTCTCAATATTATGTCACAATATTATGCCCTAGTTTGAGATGAGTTTCGATCTCTGTAATATTTGCTGTTGTCTTGCTGTTTACTTAAATAGAGCAAAGATATCACTCCTTATATTTCTACTGACACATCATTATCACCTACAGAAGACTTCAGCGCTTCTTTTCAACACTTTAGCAACATCTGAGTGTTTGCAAACACACTGTGGATTTTCAACAATTCTTCCTCCTACATAAAACAAAATGCTTCTTGGACAGCGATGAACATGAACAAGCCCGGCACTATTAGGGAGCTGGTGTCAATTTGCAGGGAAAGAAATAATTAGTTTTGTTAAGAAAATTAAGATTGGTTGAATGAAAATTCATGCTTCTGAATATTTAGCACACTAAATAATGGATAACATTACCCCCTCTTAAATTAGAAATGGTTCTGCTTCTCCATTTTTGTCAAAACTTTCTGTGGAAATAGAAATGCTATATAGATAATTGTTGTATCTCAGGCTAAGATTCACCTTGCTCTCTCTGACAAACCAGCCAAACTTGTGAAGAAAGAAGTTTATTGTGAGGTTTTTCAAACAAATCAGAGTATAAGCAGTAAAAAGTTCAGTAGTACAAGGTAGAAGTCCAATAAATTCCCTTTGAGTCAAAGCAGGAAACTTGAAGCAAAGAAGCAGAATAAAATCCAGGAAATAGCATGAGGTTACATGAAGCAGGCTTTCCCCAAGGCCCAAGCCCCAGAGCCGGAGACAAAGCGAGCCATTTCTGCAACGTTGGAACTGACGCCGAATCAGCTCCCAGGCAGTTTACTTATAGGTAAAACATCAAAACATTGAACATTAAACAGACAGCTAACAAGCAGTTTTCCCACCAACGGATGGGCTCAAGACTTGGCCGCAATTCGTAAACTCCTTCTTAACACCTGCAGAACAGCCTGACCTTCACCAGCTGTCTTATCAGCCACATTCCGTTCCTGTGAGAAAAGTGGTTTCTCTCTAGCTACAGACTGTGACTGAGAAAACTGAGAAAACTGAAATCCCACACCTGCATCTGTATTCCCATTCCCATCATGCTCATCTGCACTCTCAGTCCCATCATGCTGTTGCTGCTGAACCACAACAATAATTATACTTATTATACTTTACTTATAGAGTCCTGAGACTTGTGTGGGAGTGTCCTGAAAATGACCAGCTGGGGAGAAACCCAGGTGTTGATTGTTTTGTCTAAGTGAAGACTGAAGAAGTTATCAAAGGTTGACACATGACCTCAGCTCAACCTACGTTAAATGGACACTAGGTTCAAACTGCAGTAAATGGTCAGTGTAGATGGAGTCTTAGAAACAAAAAAAAATTAATTCTGAGAAAAAGTGTATTCCTTACTAGCTTCAAATGGTAGGAGCCAGGAAACAATCTCCCACAAAAGCGTGTAAAGGAAAACTCTTAATTACATCAGTGCTCTGTGATTTGTGTAATCACCATTCAGACTTCAAACCCCTTCCAGGATTTCTTATATAACCATATCCATAGTGAAAACCAATTTCTTCAATACTGATTTGAAACTGCATTAAATTGTGTGTAGATGGGACCTTAGCTGTATTTGGTTTTTAATTTAATCTGTAAACTACCTTTTCTCTATTGAGAAAAAAAGGTAGGACATGAATTAAATAAATAGTAAACAATATTATCAGCTGAGATGAGTGCAGGTACTACATTGGCTGTAATCACCACAATTCCAGACAAAAATTGATACAAGAACTTTTCTTTTCACAAATCATTTAGATTTTTTTTAAAAAAAATCTCAGGTCTACAATTTTTCTATCAATTATAATTTTTATACAAGGGTCCCATAGAAGAGAAAGCCTATTGCAACCTGGTCCCCTCTAGATTTTTTGGACAAAAACTCACATCTCCCCTTATCCCCAGCCATGATGGTTGAGGTTCATGAAACTTCAATCTGACACGTTTGGAGAATAATCTAGGCTGGAGAAGGTTACCTTGAACTATAAATTTTGATAGCATGAGGAAGAGTGTGGGGGAATGTGTGTCATCTAATGACAGATACAAAAACATAATATGTGGACTCGGTAGGTGAATCAATACTAAGTGCAGAATAATGACGAATCACAGAAAATCTTTGACAAAGGCAATATCTCGGGATCAAACTAGATGCAAGAGAAAAATGGAAATCTAGGGTGCAACTCATAAAACTATTTAATGCTTTAGTTGCTTTCTGCTTTTGGTGGAGACCCTACATTGAGGATAGGACTTAATGATCCTTTCTAACTTTATGATAAGAATGGATAAACACAGAAATATATCTTGCCTTAACCAGCCATAGCTACACCAATGTGTTTGGCTCTGACTGGTGGCAAGAAT